GTGTGATTGTGAGCGTGGCTCAGCAAAAGGCAGGGAGGCGGCGGCCTCTCCTCCGCCGCGTGGCCTCGGGGCTTCGTGGAAACTGCCTCGGGGCGTTTGGCGTCGGAGGAGAGGGAGCTGTGCCTTTCCGACTGTCTCAAGTTGTAAGCCGCCCGCAGAAACGCGGAGTGGTACCAATAGTAAAACGCAAAACAAAAGGAGTTTTTCCTACGTGCTCCTGGTTCACGAGGCGCTGGGTGGAGAGTGTCCCGGGCGTTGTCTGGTCACGAGGAGGGAGGCACGTGTACCGTGTCCACTGCAAGGTGAGGACGCCGTGGCTCCTATAGGGTGAGGGGCGCGGTGCCCAAGTCACAGGGCTGTTCTTGGCGCTGGGATACACTGTTGCTCTTGCCCAGTATGTGAATTTTTTCAGTGTAAAAACATACGTGCACTTGGAGCCCTGGCCTGCTCCTGCCACCCCGTTACCCCAAAACGCAGTCAGTCTTTCTGTTAGCGCCCTATACTCGATAAAAGGCCAGTGTCCTCTAAAATCCTAAATAGGAGATAAAATGTATGTCTATTTGTATCCATGTATGTATGTACACATAGTATATATGTTTATTCATCTATCTTTTAATGGGGACATCTGTGACATTTGATTTTGGGTTTTGAATCTGCAACTCCATTGGTCTGAAATCACTGAGGAAAGAGGGTCACACCAAGGCCTGGGTGACAGGAGATGGGGCCACCGGGAGCCCGGCCACCACAGGGATGAGGGAGGGCAGCTCTGGTAGGCCCGTATTTGTGATGCCGAGATGAGAAGGCGGTGAGCGTGAGCATGACGCGCTCCGAGGAGAGTGTTCCCGCAGAGGGAACACGTGCAAAAAGCTGGGGTCGGCGAGTCGCAGGGAGAGCCGGGAGCCCAGCCGAGTGAGTTAAAGGGCTAAGGGGCGGGGGGTGACCACGCAGCTATCGAGGCAGCCGAGTCCCACGTGGAGGTGGATGCCGTAGTAAGTCATGCAGATGGGATCGAGGGAGTTAGAGGAAGGCGCGGAGGTCGGGGAAGACCCCAACCGAAAGCCCAGAGGGAGGTGGCCTGTGGACAGAGGTGTAACAGAGAAATACTGACCGCGGCTAGGCCTGTTGTTTGATGTGCTGTCTCAGGGTATAGGAGGCCCATCTTGTTGCTCAGCAAGTCATCCAACAGGCACTGCCTGGCTAGATGCACAAAAATGCTGCTGAGTTTCTGCTTTCACGGGGAAGGAATGTAGGAAGGAAGTGACCCATAGACGGTGAATGGAGGAGCTGGCGCTCCTAGTGGTCCCCCATCCTCTCAGCCATTGGGACATGGCGAGTCGGCCAGATGACAACTCACCCTCCAATGTCCTTCTATAAAAAGGGGACCTGTTGAGTTGTTGGAAAGCACTGAGTTATGGTAAATGGACCTGAGAAACGATCGCAGCGGACTTTGCAAATGTTCACTGTCCACACGATCAAAAACATGAAAGGGCTCAAACCACCCAACCCCGTGCATGGTCCTCCAAGACTTGATCCTCTCACGTCATCACAGAAAAACCTACACACAAAATATGCACCTTAAATGATATAACTGGCATTAGTGTGTCTCTCCTCTGTGTTTGCATCTGTGCACCTGGGTGTTGATAGAATCATCTTTGAAACTCAGAATAGCCCATTGAAACCTTCTGGCGTGATCAGGGTCCTCCCTGTCCCGTCTGCTGGAGCTGCCTCAGCAAAACACCACACACCGGCAGGGGCTTCCACAGCAGGAGTTTATTTTCTCTCCATTCTGGGAATGAGAGTAAGAGCAAGGGGCCATGGGGTTGGGTTCGGAGCCCTCTCCCCCGGCCTGCGGACTGCCGCCTCCTCGCTGTGCCCTGTGGGCGCACACACCGCGCCCCTCTCCGCGCAGGGACGCCGGTGCTGTCCCACGAGGGTCCCCCCTTCTGACCTCCTTTAAGCTTCATTTCCTCCCTGCAGTTCCTGTCTTCAAATAGTCACGCGAGGAGGTAGGCTCGCAGCGTCTGAACTGGGGAGGCACGCGGTTCACTCACGGCACCCCTGAGGCTTAGCAACATGCCAGCGGCTGTTTCTGGCCTCGGATGTGCTGCAGCCTCTGATAGGAACGCAGAGTCACCGTCCGATGAGTGACAGATGCCGTGGAAAAAGGCAGCAACCGTGAAGCGGCAAGCTGTGACCTAGGTGTCAGCCGGAGTCCCTGCTGCTTAACATGGAAAGGAGGCGTGTTCGAATCCCTGTTCCACCCCGTGGGAAAATTTCCCAGGGTTTCTCTAGACTCTCGAGAAGCATCATCTTCACGGTCACTTAGTCCCCACCGTCCTGGCTGCAAGTTGTTTGCTCTCCACGCTCTCGGGCCCGGTGTACAAGCTCACGCCTTGGTCTGTCACCGCTCCGTGGACGCTGAGAGATGCCCTGAGCGTCCTGAGTCAGAGACCAAGGACGGTATTACTCAGAGTACAGCGGCCCACGTGAGCATGAGCGAGCCTGCGTCAGCCCCGTGCTCCCCGCGCAACCTCACGGGCGCTGCGTGAGGGGCCCGGTGACGCAGGCCCACCCAGCAGGTGCACCGCAGGAGGGGAGCCGGGGCCTGGGGAACCTGCTATTTACAGCCAGGAGCCGGCCAGCCTGCTCTTAGTCCCGGAGGGAGAAGCTGCGACACCCTCAGGNCGCAGGAGGGGAGCCGGGGCCTGGGGAACCTGCTATTTACAGCCAGGAGCTGGCCAGCCTGCTCTTAGTCCCGGAGGGAGAAGCTGCGACATCCTCAGACTGCTGGCTGCGGACACTCCCCTGAGAAATGGCCCTGCGAACGGCTGCCAGGATCTTACAATATTTTGTACCCATTGTGTTGAGTTGAATGGTGCACCCCCCAAAAGATATTTCTGTGTCTTAGTCCCCAAATCTGTGAACATCACCTTCCTGGGTGGACGGTCTGTGAAGACCACCTTGTGGAGCCTGTCGGTAGAAACCCGAATGTCGCAGCCCCTTCCGCTGAGTGCTGTGAGTAAATGGGGACGGTCACTGGAAACGGGAGGAAAGGTGATCCGGCTACACAGTGGCAGGAGATGTGGCCTAACTGTCTTACAGATGCTCGGACAGTGGGACTTCTAAGCGATGAGCTTAGAGATTTAGCTGAGGGATTTCCAAGCAAAACGTTGAAGGAGCAGCCGAATTTTCCTTGCTCAATGGAGTAGAATGTGGGAGGAAAGAGATAAAAGAACAGTAGTCAATGATTTGAGAAATTCTCGGCCTATCTAAATTACAAAAAATAAAAAAGCTAATAAAAAAGCTAAAAAAGAGCCATTGTTGGGAAAGCGTGCTCTGAAGAGGCCAAGTGTGGTTGGAAGACACGGTGCCGAGCAGATTGGCGTGTGATTCGTGGGTCCTCTGGGCCTCTCCCGCAGGCAGCGGGATGGAGTTGCCCAGGGAGAGCTGCAGAGGGCTCGCTCTGATGGCTGGGTCCCAGGGCGTCCACGGGAGACCTACCCGGCTCTCAGGAATGTGTCCCAGCAGCAGTGCTGCCAGCTTGGACGGGAGGGGACGGGAGCAGAGGCCCACAGAGCTGCCGCGGGCCGAGGGGACGGAGCCGTGGGCCACAGGCCACATTTGCATATTTTCTCTGTAACCTCTGTTGTTCAGATGCACCGCCGCTCATTTTTACTTTTAGGGAATAAAATGCAAAAGAAGATGAAGTGGAAGTTTAAGCAGAGAACTGGGATGGACGTTCAGGAGACACGTTTCTAACCACCAGTGTGCTGTCACCCCACTGTGTGGGCTCAAACATGCCGTTGAAGTGTGTTACCAATTATTTAACAACTCGCAGAAACTTGGGGAGGTGACGTCAAACTGCTCCCCCACTTTTAAGATATCTAACGCTGGAGAGACCGTGCACATAGTGAGCTCATTTCCCCTGTTAATTAGACCCTGGCAGGTCGCGTAAGGACAGGGAATCGTGATGGAGCTCATTCTATCACGTAGCAGCTAAATTTTATTTTACACACACACACTCACACACACACACACACACACATACACACAGGCCTGAATCTCTGCGACAGAGTGGTGGGCACAGGATGTCACTGCTGTCAGGACAGGGAGCACATTCCCTGGACCTGCTGGAAACGGGCCTCAGAAGCTGCAGGGGTGCCAGCAGGAGCAGGGACATGGGACAGCGAGCTGGGTGTCACAGTGGCAACAGGAAGGTTCAAGTGTCACCAAGACACAGGGGACGCTCTCAGGGGACAGCAAAGGAAGGGTGCGCCCAAGAGTCCAGGGGAAACGCTCTCACCTAAGTCAGGTACTGGAGAGATGGGGTGTGATCTGTCCTGGGGCAAAAATTTCCCCCCGTTGGTGGGTCTGGGAGCCTAGGAAACAAGTTATCTGCTCCTAAAATACGGCGGTGTGACAGGCATGTCGTAGACATTTCTGTTTCTAAAGGGAGAAATTAGGAGGAATTTAGGGGCCTCCGGTACCAAGAAAGCTGAGCATGGCAGGTGGAAGTCTCCTGGACGCGGCCCGACTCTCGCCCCTCGTTCCCTTTCCATTAGAAACAAGGATTTTTCAAAACTGCCCTTCAAGGCTTCATCCTTCTTGGTCTCTGTTGTTTTTGAAAATAATGATCGTTTCTTTGGAAGCCTCCAAAAGCAAAACCTCCTTTGACAGTTGCCGCAGGAGTTAAAGAGAAAGGACACTTTTCCCTACATTTTCACCCTCAGAACGATCCTTTCTGAAGGGAAAGGATGCGGTTGGTGCTCCGGGAGCTGGGGTGGCCCCCTCCTCTGCTGCCGTCAGCCGCGCCGGTTCAGGACACATTTCATGGGGCCCACGTCAAGGTCCCCGGGGAGGTTCAGCAGGAAGAGAAGACCCTGCCCGCGGTGGCTTGGAGTCGCTTTCCGAAGTTACCTAGAAATCCCTGGAGGTGGTATGTGGTTAAGGGTTCAAGCTCTTGAGTCAGACAGCCCTGGGCTCAAACCCTTACCCCTGTCGCTTTCTACCTGTGAGACTCACTTATTTCCAGAAACCTCAGAGATCTCTGGAAACAATTACGATGTCAGCAACCCTCTCTCAGGGTCGCTGTGAGGATGAGTGATAATGAATGATGCATCTGAAGTCCTACAAGTTGTTTTGAAGGTGGCCCTTATCTTCGATTTATATTCACAAACTGTAGACATGGACAGTGTTTTATTTTTCTAACAGGAATTCTAAGCTGTTGCATGGCCTACAACGTCGGACTCCCAGAGGCGAGGATCTTCTCGGGCCCTTCGGGGGCCCAGTTTGGCTACGCGGTGCAGCAGTTCATCAACCCAAAGGGCAACTGGTAAGGACACTCTCTTCTTCGTGATTTCAGTAAAAACATGAGATAGGTTTAATGTTGGACTGAAATTGCTTGTTCATGTTGGTTTATGACTATATTATTGATGAGGAAGCCTCCAGTATTTTTCAATGAAGGATTTTTCTTTGAGAGTTGATGACTCTCGGATCGATGATTGATGGGATGGCCTGATGCTACTTTCTAAAAACCTAGATTGAACATTTTCTCTATATACTCATAGCAAATTCATAATACCAGCTTTGACCATCTGATAGAAGATAGATCTATTTCCATTTCTTTTTTCTATAAATTGGTATCCATTGTGCTTTGTAAATGTTCAAGTAGCTGTAAATGTTCAATAGCCCCTGGGCTATTTCTAGCCGGTAGAATTATTCCTAAATTGTCTCCTTCAGCAAGGTTTGTCTGCTGGTTTCATTCCAAGCCAGCCTTCCCTACCTCATGTGAGAAGGGTCCTCACAGCATCCATGCAAAAGTTACAAAGGTACCTTTCTCTAGTGCATTTAGCATCTTTTATTTTTTCCCAAAATGCCCCGAGTTTTTTTTTTAATGCCATGTAATAATTACATTTATAAACCATGGATACATTTATAGACAACCACCTTCGTGGATATGGAAATAGATACCCCCATTGCTGGTTCCAGTTTCCCATGGTAATTATGGGAATAAACTCAGATGATTCTGAAAGTTGTCTGTAGGCAGAAGAGCTGTGGGTCCACTTCTCAGAGCTGCTGCCCCCCGGTGGGCAGGAGTCCTGCCTTTGGAACCTCACACCCTGCGGCGCAGGAGACTCCAGACTCACCCTGGAGCTTCCGGTCCGGGGTCCTCTAGAGCTCTTTGCAATGATTAAACGGGCTGTTATGGGCTTGTCAAATAAGAGCTATAATTTATAACCTTTTTTTCCCCTGTGCGAACTTAAGTTTGATGCTCTGAAAAATGAAGTCAAAGAAACATTTAGAATCCAAATGATTCATATTTGGGAGCTTGTCTGTCTGCGATGGGGGAACGAAATGAAATTATCACTAGAGAAGGCGGTGTGTCTCCAAAGGCGTCTTGGAGGAGGTGAATCATGAGATAGGTCTTAGGGGGTGGAGATGAGTAGGCTGCAGAAGAGTGGTCACCAATGCAAGGAGACCTGGGAAGCAATGTGTGTGGCAGAAAGTTTGTCAGCCATTTGGAAGGATAAGGGCAGTCTGGCCGGAAACCCAAAGAGTAGCAATTACTGTCATTATCTGGGATAAGAGAGAGAGAGAGAGAGAGAGAATCCCTAACAGGTATCTAATTATGCTTTGAGAACCTTGCTGGGACAGCTTGGCCTTAAACTTGAGGTTATTCTTTTTAAGTGACAGTTTTTCTGGGACAGGGCACCTCTGGGTGAAAGGGTCACCATCAGTCATGGATGCATTAGAGACTATGAGCCTACCAAGGACAGTAAGGAAACTCAGTCACTGGCCACGTTGCAGCTGGGGGTTGGGTTAGACCAACAGGAATAGGAAGTTGGCAGGAAGCCACCAGGCAGAAGCCTGGGAACAATGAGAGGTGCCATGTCCCCTTCCTCCCCACAAGGCTCCCTCTGGGCAGGCGAAGGACTGTTAAAAGGCCAGTGTGTCAGCCGTTTGTGGTGAGACTCTGGTGCTGACAAAGTTATGTCAACACCGGGGACACCAGCCATTTCTAAGTCCTGCCTTGGCCTTCTCATGACATTCCGGAAAGATGTATAAACACAAGACAGTGGCTGTTAGGAAACAAGGTACCACTGTTATTGGGGGGCTGGTGCTCTGAAGAGCTTTCTGGTAGGGCCCAGTGTTGGCCTTACTGCCCCCGAGCCTGTATGTAACCGCCAGCTGGTGTGAGCGCCCCCACCACACAAGAGGAGGGAAAGGTGAGCACCCCGCTGACCTGTGGGCCACACCCTGTGGGGGTGTCAGCAGGAAGGAAGGAACAAAAGCTGGCCTGCTGGTCCAGCTCGTCCTTCCCCTGGTCTCGCCGTGTAAAGCCATAGAAGGGGCCGGGGCACGGGCCTCATCTCCTAACCCACTGCAGGCGGGCACATGCGAGACGCAGCGTGCCCACTGCAGACCCTGCCTTCCAGGAGCGGGGAGTGGCGTCGGTCAGTGAGATCTACGTGCAGAGCAGGCAGCCACGAATAATGCCCCAGACGCATGAGTGCCGCCCGTCTCCGTATGCGTTACGTTAGTGTCACTCACTGTGTTAACTCCCTATGAAGAGCTCACTCTCTTCCCAAGGCCGGGGACCCTAGAGGGGCATGGTCCCCCTCTGACCTCTCTCTGTGCCTGGCCCCTGCCCAGGTGACATGCCAGGTGAGGGTGGGGCTGTGGCAGGACCCAGGTGAGCGGGGGTTTCCACTCCAGGGCTGAGTGGCCTCGATTAGGACCAGCAGCCTTCATAGCTCTCAGGCTCAGGCTCAGGGACCTCCGTGAAACCCCGAGTCCAGAACTGCCTGTTTGTGTGCATAGTGGGCGCTGTGCCCTCCTGATTTATGGCAGTTCCATGGGCATTGTGGAAAAAGCAGGTGTGGGAGGGGCTGTTTAAACATCCACTTTCCTTCTGATACCAATCAAGTTAGTTTTAGGCACAGAGAGTGACACTGCTGTGAAGTCCTTTAATAACTGGGAGTCCTTTTCGTTTAGACCTAATATCCATAGTACACACACACATACACCTCTTTATTTCTGTTCCTCCCCAGCTGCTTGTTGGAAGCTGCTGCTTTAGCATTTTCCTCTGCTCTCTCCGACTTTCTTTATAGTCTCTTGCTGAGCCTCAGCTGCGTCTCTCAGCCTCTCAGTCCTTCCGACGACTCTCTTTCCGTTCTGGTCGGAGTTTTCTTAAATCACACTCATCTATCTTTCAAGTACAACTTCAGCTGTTCCCCACGCCCATTTCCAAAAACTTATTACACTGAGGAATTTACTCTGGAAATAGTGGTGACGTAGCTTTGAGAATCTGGAGCCTCTTGGATGGTCACAGATGAGCTGGCTGGTTTTCAAGGCAGGTGAATACCCAGGCAGAGCCCCAGAGCGGCCTCCGTCCGTAGTGAACTCGTGGTCTGCTCTCCCTCCGCAAAGGCTGAGGGTCGTCTTACGCACAGAATGTTCAGACGCAGGTGATGCAAGACGCAGCGCTTATCACCCACGACTGCACAGAGGATGGGAGGTGTTCAGGATCATTTCCTGGAGGCTGGTGGCAGACACACTGGGTCTGTTTGTCTTACCGGGAGGCCTATCCCAAGAACAATCTGAGCTCATTTTATGACTCAAATTCGTTAGAACATTGCAGTCACTGTGTGACCAGGCCTGTGTGGGAGTGGGGGGGGTATTTCCAGTTGCAGAAATGTGTTCTCTTGTTCCAGCAACGGCTGGTTATGCTTAATCCTGAAGAGGCCTGGAGTGAACACGTGTCATGGCCAACAAAAAATGTATCTCCATATGAGCTCACATCACAGTTTCAACTTTTTAATTAAGAAGACATTCAGTTAAGCTCTGTGTGTGCTATAAATACACCAGATTGTCTGTGACAGAATTTTAGATGAATAATAGAGAAGGAGCATTCAGTTCTATGACGGACATCAGAGACTGTCATAGGGGATGTTGGTCTAACAGTACCTGGTATTTATCGGGTCTTCTTCCTTTGCCAAACACATAACACTCAAAATGTTTCCAAGAGCTTTGTAAAAATTATTGTCCCCTTTACAAATAAGGGGACTGGGACTAAAGCTAAATAGTTTGCCTAAGATAGGACCGAGCTAATAAATAATCAGCCTGGGATATATGATGCAAAACGGAGATAAGAGATTCCAAATGCACACATTTTTATAAATATCCAAGGAAGAGAGTGACTGAATGTAGCTGGCATTTATAAATAATATTAAAATATAATTTTCATATAAACTTTATAAAGTGATTTCAATTTCAAATAACGTCTGTAGTAGAGAGGGCATCTTAAATATCCCTGTTCTGGCTCGCTTCTTCCTTCCTCCCTGCTGGGCTGGTACTGTGTGTACCCTGCACGCACACGCACACGCACACACGCACACGCACACGCACACTCTTCTCGACTCACCTGCGGGAGGGAGCTGCTGCTCCCGAGTGTCTGGAGGAAGACCGTCCACGGCCTTCAAGGCCCTCGGGCCTCACCAGCCAGTCCTAGCTGCCCCTTCGCGGACCCCCGGACATCCGTCTCCCGAATAAAGTTCACGCACAGGAGCGAGTGGGGCTGACACCCGCCCGCCTTCCTGGTGGCCACGCGTCTGAATGTTTCTGCCCATCTGATTTCATCGGGAGAGGGATCTAGAGGATCCCTCCGTGGCACGGGTGGGACCTACCTGTCATTTGTTTGTGCCCCACCTGGTAGGCAGACCTCTCCCCTGGAAGGGTCCCGAGGGAGCTTAACCTGAGGACACACCCAGGCTGCGCTCCCTGCTGGGGACGGGGCAGTCGCCACGCTGGGCTCATGGAGACAGACGTCTGAGGGCAGCGCAGTTAATGCCGTAAAAGGGTTCATGAACCAAAAGCAGTTTAGAAATGTTGTTTCTCTTCCAATTTTTATTCTTGATAGAACAACTGTTTGCCAAAGTACCTCCTTGAAAGCTACTACTCATGGGCTTTGATTTATAAAAATGCAGTGGCCTCAAGATCATCTCTTGTCTCCCCACCGGGGCCCAAGGATTCGGAAGTTAGACCCTCTGAAGGGTCTAAAATGGAGCAGTTCAGCTTTCGATTGTAACTTCAGGAAAACTGCCTGTCAGATGAGTCAGCATAACAGAACCAGATTTTATTGATTTCCTTGCCTCCAGGGCAAAAGCTGCTTCCCAGGGTGTTTCCGAGACAGCAATTAGCTAAGATGCCGCAGCAGTAAGGAGGTGGGTGGGCTCCGCCCCATCAGGGCTCGGCCGCCCCCCTCCTGAGGGAGCCAAGAAGCCCCAGGCGGTGTAATGAGCCTTAGACACTAAAATTGCCCCTCTCGCACAC